TCAACTAAACATGGCACGGGGAACTAGAACAGTCTACCCCAGTGAGCGAAATAAAGGGTTCAGTTCTTTTCCTTCTATCTGAATTTCCGGGTTGAACAGTTATCCTTATTATTATCATTTACGTTCGGACTATTATCCTCATCTTTGTTGTTATTGTCACAATGTTTGTCGGTGCTTATTGATCCTGGAATTTCAAATCAAACTCTTTATTTAATCTGAGGGGATAGGTTTTTCTCTTTCCGCTTTTAGTTTCTAGGGATATTCATGTATGTGGCATGCGTGATACACACTTAGGCGATCATGTATCTTTCGATGCATGACAGACGAGGCAGACTTTTTCCCGCAGTAGGTTGCCATTTCTTTCTGCGGTAGACCAGTTGCCATCCAATGCTATAGAACCCGGTCTGTCCTGCTATTTACCCAAACCGGGTGAAGAGAAAAGTGGGTTCATACATTTCCCAAGGTATTAACATGTAAGTGAATGTAATGGATTCGACTGGAAATCGAACTCGGCTCTCAGATTCCTCTATCCGTATCGCTATCCATTACTTCACTGTGCCTCCAGAATCTATCTACTCCTATTGGGGAGGGGATTGCACCGATCAGTCAGTTATGTGACATGCATGATACATGCTTAGCGATCATTTATCTTTCGATACATGACTGATATAAGTGAAATTATTTTCCCGCGGTTGGTTGCCATTTCTTTCTGCGGTAGACCAGTTGCCATCCCAGGCTATAGAAACCGGTCTGGGGAAGAGAAGAGGATTTATACCTTTCCCAAGGGTCTTAAAACGTAAGAGAACGAAATGGATCCGACTGGATTTCTCCCATTCGTCAATCCGAGCCGCTATTCATTAATCCGCCGTGCCTCCCGTAGTCTAGGGATATCACTTCTAATTCTCATTTGAGTTTCATCTCATTCGAAGTACTTTAATGGCTTGCTAACACTTGACTCCTAGGAAAGCGATATGATACAACAAATGAGAATATTTATTGAACAAAGAATCCTTAAGAGATTGCTGGAATATTGAGCTGCTTTCATTCACTTGATCTTTATTCAAAGTATCTAGCGTTTTAATAAATTTATTGATTCGTTTCTTACGGTTTGTCAACCCTTTAAAAGTTATTTAAACGCAGTAAGTATTTTTAGATTGTAAGAAAATTTTTATAGATAATAATGATATAGTCTGGTTTGTTTGGTCTATTTTGTTGTGTGCATATCAACACTGCAATGGGTTATTTAATGCTGACCTAGATTTTTTATTTTATTTTTATTTTTATCTATCTATCTATCTATCTATCTATCTTCAATTAAAATGTATCTATCTATCTATCTATCTATCTTCAATTAAAATCTATCTATCTATCTATCTATCTATCTATCTATCTATCTTCAATTAAAATCTATCTATCTATCTATCTATCTATCTATCTATCTATCTATCTATCTATCTATTTCAGTATATATTGCTTTGGTCTGGTTTGTTTTACTGCATATCAACCTCAACGGGTTATTTAATACCGACAAGATTTTTTTTTGCTGGTAAAACTTTTTTTTTTCAAAAATATATTGTTATTATTTTTTCCAAAAATGTAATGCTGGTATTTTTTTTTCAAAAAATGTATTACTGGTAATATTTTTTTTTTTTCATAAAAGTATTGCCGGTTAAAAATTTTCCCAAATAGTATTGCTGGTATCAATACCTATTTTTATACTTTCATAGTAATTTGACCCCTCTTGGTAGCTATTTGACCAAAGCAGGGACCCTGACAGGTGATACATCTCCGGGTGGACCTGGGAAAACCAGCAATTAAGAGGTAGTTCCACGCTCCTCCTGATGAAAGGCCTTGCGGTCGGATGTAGTTTATTGTCTTACCCAGGAGGCGGATGTCGTTTATCGTCATACCCAGGACGTGGATGTAGTTTATCTTTTTACCCAGGACGCGGATGTAGTTTATCGTCTGACCCAGGACGCGGTTGTAGTTTATAGTCCTACCCAGGACGTGGATGTAGTTTATCGTCTTACGCAGGACGCGGATGTAGTTTATCGTCTGACCCAGGACGCGGATGTAGTTTAGAGTCCTACCCAGGACGGAATGATTTAGTGAAAAAAAGTCTTATTAATTGACCTATAGCTGTGGGAGAAGAGTCTGATTCATAATATTTTTAACCAACTCTACGGGAATTGAAAGTCAGCTCTCTGATTGACAATTATGAGCCATTATCCGTCATCCATCTTGGCTCGACGTTGATTAACTTCGATTATCGAAGGAACTGTTGTTTTAACGTAATATGGCCATAAACCTGCAACCAGTCTGTAAATTCATTTAGAAAAAGAACAGTGAAGACATTACACATGTTTTGAGGAGACCACCTCTCCCTTGATCGCCTCTTCAATGTTATGATTACAAACACACACACACACACACACACACATATATATATATATATATATATATATATATATATATATATATATATATATATATATATATATGATAAATCTGACAATATCGAAATGAAAATCATAAAAATCTGATAATTCTCTCATATTTTATGGAACTTTTTTTCGACATTTTTCCGGTTTTCGTCAAAGGGAAGCAAACTTAAAAGAAGACTCGCCGAGACGGAAGCGCAAAAAATATCAATGTGACTAACAAGATGTAAATTTCTTATAGTAATATTATATATATATATATATATATATATATATATATATAAATATATGCATATATATAAAAAATATATATATATAGTATATATATATATATATATATATATATATATATAAATATATGCATATATATATAGTAAATATATATAATAAATATATATACATATATATATAGTAATATTTATATATCTAGTAAATATATACGTATATATATATATAGTAAATATATATATAGTAATTATATACATGTATATAGTAAATATATACATAAATATAGTAAATACATACATATATAGTAAATATATACATATATATATATAGTAACTATATATACAGTAAATATATACAAATGTAGTAAATATATATACATAAATATATAGTAAATACATACATATATATAATATATATATATATATATATATATATATATATATATATATATATATATATATATATATATAGTAACTATATATACAGTAAACACACACACACACATATATAGTAAATACATACATATATATATATAATATAAACTCGGAGTTGTGCAATTAATGTAAGATATTATGTATATTTATATATATATATATATATATATATATATATATATATATATATATATATATATATATGTATATATACACACATATACGTTTGTTTGTAGGTATATGTAGATAGGTAGATACATCACTATATATATAAATATATACGGGTACATCAAAAATACTTTTTCACAAACTTTTATGTCGCGTTCCTCACAACGAAACAAGGTCACAAGGTCATATAAGCATTTTTTTTTAGTTATTAAGTTTAAAGAAAGTTGACTGTAGATGTCACTGCGTTGCCACGCAGACTAGCTTACGTTTTTCATTCAGCCCTAGGTATAACGATAAACTGCACCCGGCAACATGGTAGTAGCAATGTGTCTGAGCTGGCTTTTGTAATAGGTATGTGATATCCGCCCTAGTAGATTTGCATCATCGGCTTCGAGTAGCCACTCAAATGAGGTAGATTTCGCAAAGAACCGGAAACTCAATCCTTAAAAGGAAACATCAACCTTTACTGCTCTTCAAAAGACTTGCGCGGAAATAAACCGATGGCGCTCAGCAAATATTCTGTATGGTAGTTAAATGAAAGCTGTTTTGTTTTGGAGGTGTTAGAATTTGCAAGAAATTTCTTGCCTCGGCTCATCACAGGTCAGACGTCCTTTTCAAGAGGAGCTGCCAATTTTACTTTGCCAGATCTGATGGATTTTCTATTGAGACAGGGGTAAATAGCGGTGTCATCTGCATAAATACCTAGTTGTGGGGAGATCAGTGACGAAGATAAGAAGCAGCGTAGGAACGAGGGTAGAGCCTTCGGGGACACCTGCGTTCGTGTGAAAGGACCTGGAAGCGATTCCATTCAAAACGACCTTCATTTCAAGATTTGATAGAAACGATTGGATTAAATCAAACATTCGTTCTGTGTGACCGTATCCTTGGAGCTTGCATCTCTAAATTGTTAATCGGAGAGCAGATTTCGTATTTCTGCTGGGTTCGTAATATGTGCAAATAAAATTGGGAAAGATATAAATTCTCCTCTTCTTCTTCCCAGTTATGGGTTAATTAGTAAGACCTGTATCACTAAAACCAGGAAGGAAGGAAGGGAGGCAGGTAGACAGGAAGGAAAGAAGGAAGGAAGGAAGGGAGGGTCGTAGGCAGACAGGAAGGAAAGAAGGAAGGCAGGAAGGCAGTAAGGAAGGAAGAAATCGAAGGAAGGAAGGAAGAACGGAAGGCTTATTCGTGTTTTGTTAGGCTGTGTCCCACGTGACAGGCTCCAGCCTTGTTCGCGGGAAAATTATTCCTCGCGTGCAGGCGGTTTGATTGGTCGGAATTGACCAATCAGCAAGCTAGTTTTGAGGAGATTAGCCAATGAATGCTTGCCGTACGATCTGTATGTATGTGTGATGGCGATGATGATCGCTACAGAATTAAAGCAAAAAGGAAGAATGTTTGATTTGTTTTTTACGTCTTATCAACCCTTTTTGAGTTATGTAAAGCCTAATTATCTTTCGGATTGTGAGAATTTTTTTTTCTAGCAAATATAACATAAATAATTTTTGGGAATAACAATGATTTTCTACGAAGTACTTTTACTATTTAACCCATAGCTGATGGAAGAGACGGATACATACAAAGGTATTTGAATATAAGTCTATACAACGAAACCGACTAGAATTCGAACTCGGCTTGCCGGTTTCTTATTCCGAGGCACTATCCATTACACCACCCGCACATCCACGGAAAAAACGAAATGAAAGTAAGGAGTAAGAATAAAACGTATTTAAATATAATACAAATCTACCAGTAAAATTAGAATTGAAGAAGAATGGCGCGAATGAGCGAGAAGTGAAGGAAGGAAGGAAGGAAGGAAGGAAGGAAGGAAGGAAGGAAGGAAGGAAGGAAGGAAAGGATAGAAAAAAGAACAACAGATAAAAGTAAAGGGTAAGAGTGAGGTAAAGAAGGGCGAGTGTGAAAGAAAGAAAGAAAGAAAGAAAGAAAGAAAGAAAGATAGAAAGAAAGAAAAACAGAAGGGATAAGTGACAAGAAAGAAAGAAAGAAAGAAAGAAAGAAAGAAAGAAAGAAAGAAGGGATAAGTGACTAGAAAGAAAGAAAGAAAGAAAGAAAGAAAGAAAGAAAGAAAAACAGAAGGGATAAGTGACAAGAAAGAAAGAAAGAAAGAAAGAAAGAAAGAAAGATAGAAAGAAAGAAAGAGAAAGAAAGAAAAATAAAAAGAGAGTGAAAGTAGGGAAAAAGAAAGTACGAAAGACTCAATGAAAAACAGGAAAAGAATTAAGACTATATTAAAAAAAAACGAAGGAGAACGAAGAAAGAAAGAATAAAGAATATAAAAGGATGAGATAAATAAAATACGGAATGTTTTAGAAAAGAAAAGAAAGAAAAAAGAAAGAGAGATAGAGACTTAAAAACAGGAAGAGAATCTAGACTACATTAAAAGAAAAAAAAACGAAAGAAAGAAAGAAATATAAATATATAAGAAAAACAGAAGTTAAAATAAGGAATGCATTAGAAAAAGAAAGAAAGAAAAGAAAGGAAGACTTAATGAAAAACAGTTAGAGAATCAAAAATATATTAAAAGAGAAAAAGAAAGAAAAATACTATAAAAGAGAAAACGAAAAAAATAAGGAATGCATTAGAAAAAAGAAAAAGAAAGAAGGAGAGAGACTTAATAGAAAGAAGGAAGAGAATCATAAACAAAAGAGTGAAGAGGACATTGAAAGAAAGAAAGAAAGAAAGAAAAAAAAATGATTACAAAAGAAAAAAACAGAAAGAAATTAATGAAAGCGTTAGACAAAGAAAGAAAGAAAATAGTTCAGAAATATATAAGAATGATACAAAGAAAAATATAAAAAAATTCAGCCGGAAAATAGAAGGAGTAAACGAAAAAAAAAAAAGATTAGGCGATAAAAATTCATGTCATATCGAAAAGGACGAAAAAAAAAAACCTAAAATGTCTTACTTAACATTTTTTTCTCAAGTAAATAGAATAAACGTCTATGACGTAAAGAAAAATATAGAAATCACAAAGAATAATATTTTTATCTTTATTTATTTTCTTTTTTTTTTTGCAATATTTTATATTATCGATATTATAGATGTACCCATTATTGGATACATTACACTCTAATTCTGGTTTCGTTTTTTACCCCTGAAAAAATACTACTACCACTAATTCTACAGATAATAATAAAAATAATAATAATAACACTGCATATGACACTAAAAGTTATATTGAAAACGTTAAAAAAAAAACCCCGACCAGACATAAAAAGCGAATTGGTTGAAACCTAAGCAATCTTTTGTCGCGACTTTGTAAAGGTAAGAAAAAAAAATCGGTTTGATTTATAAGCACAGAGATTAAAGAAAACGCATAATTTGATTCTCTCCATGTCACTATATAAACAGTTTTTGTGTTCGTCTGTTTATTTATCTTTATTCGCCAAGCTGAAAGTTTTCTTGTCGCTTGCCAGAAAATCTTACTGGAGTTAAGTGGAAGAGTTGACAGTAAGAAAAAAAAAACAAAAACATTTCATATCGATCGTTCATCGTGGTAGACTCTCCTTACACCGAGTAGACCTGATCACAGATTGAAACATGGTGAGAAGAAGATGTGATATAAACGCAGCTGAGATGAAATTTCCCAGTAAGCCTTTTTCGATCTCAAAATGTCCCCGTTTCTCGAATATTTTGGCTGATTTTGTTCAGCGGCTGGTTAACGTCCAAGGGTTATAAATGCCAAAATATAAATATTTTAAACCCAAATTTTATGGCTTCCAGTAAATATATTTTAAAATTAATTGTATGCTTTCAACTACAGATGCAATGTACTGTTGGTCATTTTACTAAAAAATCTATTGTTAATTTTATAAAATTGTAATTCTGGTCATTTTAATTAAAAAATGAATTATTGGTATAATACTAAAAAACTGTGTTTACGAGCGTGCTTGTGTGGTGCGTCCGTCCGGGGTATAAAGATATTTAAGTTAATTTGATTTAATTTAATAAGATTTAAAAATATGGTTTGTTTATTGATATGTCCCGGAAAGGGATATATTTGAACGAAGTAGCGAAGTGGTTTTGGCTACTATAACCAAGTAGAATACGGTAGCAGTAATCGACTGGTACGCGTCGTAGTTGCAGGTAAGAAGAGTAGATCAATGGCACAGTCCAATGGACGTCGTTATAGACTTAGCTCTCAGACTAAGGCTCATGAATTCTGACTCACCTACACGTCTGTCTGTATCTATGACGGACACCAGCCAATCACACTCCAGTGAAGGGGAACACAGGTGTATGCATATTCCATTATATCATTTATATAATAAGTATCTTTAGTTTAACTTTCTTCAAACAGAAATTTTTTAATTAAATATTTTTAACTTAAAGACAGACACAAAGAGATCCCGCTTTGCTGTTTCGTCCAGTTCTTTTTAGAGTAATTATTTATAACTAGCAGTAGAGCCCGGCGTTGCCCGGGGATATAACAGTAAGAGATAGATCAAGTATCGACCATCATAAAGACTGAAAAATAAAATTGACAAAGATTATTGTTTAAAGTTGACGGACACGCATGTCTTAATTATTTTTTCATTTTATTTTTTTTACGAATTGGTCAAACCCAAATTCAAACAAAAACATTGTTTACAATCGTTATGAGTCTATCGATTGGTGAATAGAATTTTATTATAAACAATTGTCTTGTAAATGGAATTTTAAAGCATTCTGAATGTAAATAAAGAAAAAAACTGTGCAAGACAATTAGAAATACTACCTGCCGAAAAAAAAAAAGTGGATGTTTGTTTTATCGGCTGAAAAATGTAAGAAATCCGATCCCATATATAAAGGAACACACACACACACACACACACACAAACACACACACACACAAAACAACCTGGGTTTTTAACCTAAGTCACTGCACGGAATCGCTAAAACATAGAGCATAGTCTGATGAAAAGACGCCAAAGTTTATGAAAACAAAATTTTATCGTCAAAATGCTTATGTTTTTTATGAAGAGGATAGACTAATTTTTTTTTTAAAATTTTCCATCTTTTTAGAATATTCTAAATTTTGATTTAAGAAACCTTGTTTCTCTTTGTCGCGTTTTTTTCTATTTACACACATTAATTTGGAAAATCTTGCAAAAATAAAAATAATTGTCAGATGTTAATGAAACTTTCAGAAACTATTCACAGATGATCGAAATTATTATAAATATGTTTTTTTTTTATTAAAGTCATGGCAGAAATATTTTTTTTATATTTATTAACACCCCCATAACTAATTTTATGAAAAACTCTAGAAATTCGAGACCATCGGTTTCAGTGATTACAATAGTTAAAAGCACATGGCTTTGAAGAATGCAAATCATGTTTTTTTTGGGTTTTTTTTGGCCAACGTACCTGAAAATCAGCTGTGAATTGTAACATACAAAACTCAATAAAACAAATATATTATTTAGTTTCAAATGCTTTTATTTGTTTTAATTTGTTTTTATGAATATGGACAATATTTTCTGAAAGCAAAAATTTTTTTTCAATGAAAATTGAATTTTTAATACAATTATTTCTTATTTCTTTAATTTTAAAAGATTTTTAAAAAAATGTTTAAATTGAATTTTAAAAAATATTTTAACATTAGTTAAAAAGCAACATCAACCTTTCAAAATGTCCGTGTGATATTGTCATTGTCTAGCGCTTTGAAAATTGTATAATTTGGACCAATCAGATTAGCCATGGTAATTAAGAAATGTAATTTTTGTGTTTATAGTCGGACAGTAATTATCAAGTACGGAAGACCAACCAGAATACAATTTAGTTGCATCATTTGAGTTCAGCATTGTTCTCCGCTGTTAAGATCTTTTACTTTTGCGAAACACGTATGGAGAAGTTAATTTGAGTTTTCAATTTCAACTGAGAAGGGTACCTACAAGTAACAGTATCATCTTATGAAATTTAACTACTGCTAAACTTTAATTTATATGATCTTATTTTTATATTAATCTCAGTTATGACATTTTTCCATAAATGAAATATCAAAATTAATAATAAAATGAATGGAAATACAAATAACACAGTAAAATGTAATAAATGTACATAAAATTATAGTATTTTATGTACACTTCTGATAAAATTTCATAAGAAAGTTACCTAAATTAATTAGATACCTTTTTCTTATGAAATTTAATCTCACTATTAACAGTCTTATTTTTTAATTTCTTTATATTTTCCATAAAGCATCATAAACGTAAAAAATGAAAGCTAAGTACAAAAAAAAAAAAAAAAATAAAAATTAGAGCACTGAAAGTTTTTCCTTAAAAGTAACAAGGTAAATAATTTGTTCACTTAAATAATTTCACTTCCTTCCATCCGTAGAAAGAATTCTCATCCCGTAAGTTATCTAAACGTCATGAATGTGCCTTTCGTCAATCGTCAAGCGACGCGAAAGGTTATGACCTGCTTTGTTTTATTTTCAAATTACATTTTTTTGGCGCAGAAGCTAATCTAAGCTTGGTTCAAAATATTTTAAATAAACAGTATAATTTCTGTTTTTATTAAAATCAGTTTTGAAAAAATGATAATTGATTTTTAAAAGAATATCAAAGTAAGATTTTAATCTTTTTTATCAAATCGAAAAAAATGATTGAAAATGATTGATTATCTGCCCTTTTTTTTGACCAAAAAAAACAATATCTTTAACGAAAATCTCAGACGTGCTAGGAACGATTAAAATGTAAAAAAATACCCCCAAAATACATTGATCTTTCCTCTTTAATAATAATATGAACATTAGACGATAAAATTTTGTTTTCGTCAAGTTCGGCTTTTTTTTCATCATGCTATGCTCTTTTGTTTACATTTTCGTGGGTGAGTTGTCCCCCTTTCATTCTACGATGTGTCTTAATCGTGTTTTCAAATTGATTTTATTAAAAAAATAACTGTATTTTTCCCATTTTCGGCCCCGTTAGAACCACCACAAGGTAATTTTATGTAGTCCTGTGAAGTTTTGTTGAAATCGGCTAAAAAATGTAGGAAATTCGATCCAACATAAACGTTTACAACACACACACACACACACACACACACACAATCTGTGTTTTATAATAAGTAAGATTCAGTTTTCTTTAGCGAAACAATATTTAAATATTTAAAAGAATATTTTTAAATTAATCTGATTTCATAAATATTTTAAGTGAATAAGATTTAAAAATACGAATTGTTTATACAATATGCATCTTTATTTTAACTTTCTTCAAACAGAATTTATTTAATTAAAATATCTTTAGACAGACTCAAAGAGATCCCATTTCGTTCAGTTGTTTGTAGAGTAATTATGCATATTTCAGCTTTTTTAAACAAACGATAATTTTGGCATATTTAAAAAATATTTTTGGCATATTTAAAAATTAATTTCAAGTGAATATGATTTAAAAGTACTTTTTTGGCACATTAAAAATATTTTTAAGTTAATCTGATGAAAAAAAAAATTTAAGTGAATAAGATTTAAAAATACGCGTTGTTTATATAGTAATATAAAGAATTTCTTTTGTTTTTGGTATAGATATTCACATATGCCATAAATAAATGCTGTGACTGGAATTTCAAGTTTAACCCGGAATTTCTATTCCTATTAAATGTTGTAAACAATCAGTTAAACGTTAAACATGAACTTGTTAACCAGGCGAATGATGACACGAACAAATTGAAATATTTAATTGAATTATAATAAAATTAACTTTCATTTCAATGGGATATTGAAATCAAATTTAATGTTTTATAACGTAGACCGTCAGTGACCCCACGGGTCATGAATAGTCTCGTATCAAATATCAATACTGTATAATTGATTTACGTGAAATTATATAATTCAATGTGAACAGAATTCTTGCCAAAAATCCGTTGGATATTTTTTGTTTGGTTTGTTCGTGTTTCTAATGGCCTTTTAAGTACTAGAGACATGTTTTTAGTGTAATATATCTCAGTTTATTCCTTCCTATCTATCTATCTATCTATCTATCTATCTATCTATCTATCTATCTATCTATCTCAGTCTGTTCCTCCATCTATCTATCTATCTATCTATCTATCTATCTATCTATCTATCTATCTATCTCAGTCTGTTCCTTTATCTATCTATCTATCTGATACTAACAGTTTGTGATTGCGCGCATGCGTGCGCACGTGCGTGCGTGCTTCCGGCGCATAATGGTTTAAGTTAATCTAATTTAAAAATATTTTCAGTGAATAAGGATATTCACTTGACCCCGCCACTGGGTTAGGTTGAGACACAAGATCAGTTTTTAACGAGGGGACCCGAGTGTTTTTATCTCGGGCCGCTGGTCTAAGCTGGTCTAAGGTGGTCATAGCTTGTCCAAACTGGTCACAGGCGTGATACCACCGGCACAGGGACGAAGTCCTCGGGCAGTTAAGCATCTATTTTCAGTGAATAAGGATATTCACTTGAAAACTGAGTCATGTTGTGACACAAGGTTGGTTTTTAACGTGGGGACCCGAGTGTTTTAACTCGGGCCGCTGGTTTTAGCTGCTCATAGCTTGTCCAAGCTTGTCATAGCTGGTCTTGGCTTGTCATAGCTTGTTGAAGCTGGTCTAGTCTAGTCGTGGCTGGTCTTGGCTTGTCATAGCTGGCTCAAGCTGGTCAGAGGCGGTCCAAGCTAATCGTAGCCGTGATACCACCAGTACAGGGACGAAGCCTTAGGGCAGGTAAGTGTATTTACTTGACCTCCCACTGAGTCAGGTTGTAACACAAGGTCAGTTTTTAAAGTGGGGATCCGAGTGTTTTCACTCGGGCCGCTGGTCTGAGCTGGTCCAAGCTGGTCTTACCTGTCCCAGAGACGGAGCCCTGGGACAGGTAAGTATCTATTTTCAGTGAATAAGATTTAAAAATACAAGTTGTTTATACAATAAGTATCATTATTTTAACTTTCTTCAAATAGACAATTTCTTTTAAATTAAAATATTTTAAAGTTAGAACCAGGCACAAAAAGATCCCGATTCGTTTAGTTATTTGTAGAATAATTATTTATATTTTAGCTTTCTTTAAACAATATTTTAAATATTAAAAAAATATTTTTAACCAGAAGCGTTAGTGACCCAATGGCTCACGTGTAATCTTGTTTTGCTAGAAAGACTTATTGCTGGTCATTTTACAATATGAACATTTATTGCTGGTAATTTTACTATGAAAATGTATTTCTATGCTTTCACTATTTGACGATTGTGTATAAGCATGAAATAGATTGTCGCCACAAGGTGTTTTTTTTTTTTTTTTTTGTTGTTGTTTTTTAAGCGTTTCACCCCAAGCAAGGCGGGGAGCCACTAGGACGCAAGGGGTTACAGAAGATTTGGAGCAAGAGCAGATAGGAGTGATAGAGGAAAGGATGAGGAGAAGGACAGTGGATAGATCAAGGCAACTGGAGATGTTGATTGACATTACATTTGAATAGTTGGAGATTATAGTTCTCCCAGGGAAACGGGAATAGGGAAGGGAGTTCCTTAGGTGAGAGGTGCGAGACATGAAGCTATTGGAGTAGAAGAGACGGATACATTTAATAGTTTCGAAAGTGAAAGGGTGAGAACGGGATGCCAGCCTCGTAGGGCGCTTCATGAAGTCTGGGAACCAACGAATGTAGCTCCTCGGAGCAATTACCATGAAAGTATTTGTAAAAAAAGACAGAGAGAGGCGACAGCGCGTCTGTGAGAAAGTGACTGTAGACGAGATGCCAGAACAGGGCCAATTATATTGCATATCCGCCTCTGGATCTTATCAAGAACCCTGAGGCAAACAGAAGGGTCTCCAGACCATATATGGCAGCAATAATCCATGCAAGGGCGAATTGTTGATTTGTAGATCTGGAGGATCGATTCCGGGGAGAAAAATTTCCTGGCGCGGCACAGGGAGCCAACTTTCCTTGCGGTGGACGAAGCAATTAGCTCAATGTATTTGTTCCATCTCAGGTAAGCAGTCAACGTGAGACTGAGCAGCCGCAGAAAGGTGCCCTCGAGAAATTGAGCATCAGACATTCTAATGGGGGGCAGGGAAGGATCTCTGTGGTGATTAATAGCAGTTTTGTTTTTGAGGCATTAAAGTTGACCAGCCAATTCCTGCCCCAGTTCACAACCGATTGGAGGTCCTTTTCGAGACGCACGGCCAGGTTAGTTTTGTCAGTGACACTAGATTTGTTTTTGAGGCAGGAGTAAATTGTGGTGTCATCCGCATAGATACCAACTTGGGAATTTATGGCGTCAGGAAGGTCATTTATGTCGATAAGAAATAGATTGGGGCCTAGGATGGAGCCTTGAGGAATACCTGCGTTTGTGGGATAGGAACTGGAGGAGAATACGTTGAGAATGACCTTCAATTCATGGTTTGACAGGAATGATTGTATTAGGTCAAACAATCCACCTGTAATACCATAACCTTGGAGCTTACGAAGAAGGCTGGCATGCCAAACCCTATAAAACACTTTTGGAGATGTCTAGGGCCACGGCACGAACTTCCCCGATATTTTGAAGAGCTTGGTAGACAGTTTCAGTGATGACCGTAAGCACATCAGCTATAGATCGGGCAAAGCGGAAACCATATTGCTTGTCTGAGAGCAGATCATGGGATGTAAGGTGGTTAACCACTTCGGCATTGATTAGGGCTTCGAAGACTTTGCCGAAGAGGGATAGGAGACTGATAGGACGGTAATTAGAAGGGTCAGAGGGGTCGCCAGAGTTCTTGAAGACAGGAACAACCGAAGGGGACTTCCAGCAGTCAGGAAAACAAGATTCCTTGAGGCAGTAGTTATATAGTTTGGAGAGGGCGGGCGCCAGTTCAGGCGCGCATTTCTTCAAGACAGTGGCTGGTATCCCATCCCCACCACTCGCCTTGTGGGGGTCTAAATTGGAGATAATGCCCAATACCAAAGTCAAGGTTATGTGTAACCCACTCAATAGGGCCTCAGTTTTAAGAGGGACGTCGGGTATGGGTACACCGGAAGAGTCGAGCGTTGAGTTGAATGAAAATTTCCGAGCAAAGCATTCAGCCTTGTCGGCAGAGGAGGTCAGGACTTCAAACTGGTTGAACAAAGGAGGTATAGAAGGTTTGCAATTGTTCAGTACGCTCTTGCAGAGACGCCAATAATCTTTGGAGCCAAAACTTCAATATATATATATATATATATATATATATATATATATATATATATATATATATATATATATCGTACAGGTAATAGATTTGTTGGTATATAATCCAGCTGGCTCCTAATAATATCAAATATTAAAACTGATCCTGAAAGAGAGCTCAATGTATTTATTATAACAGAGCATATATACTACACAGAAAAAAAATTCAAAATTACTGCGGGATTGAACAAGACCAACGTGCTTAGCGTTGGCTGAAATAGATTTATATCCACATGAGGTAATCTGGGATTTTTTTTTGCTGTGTAATATATATATATATATATATATATATATATATATATATATATATATATAGATATATATATATATATATATATATATATATATATATATATATATATATATGAAGATAAATACATCAAAAACAGACTTTTAAACTCAGCCAATACCTCAGGTGGTGTTAGAACCGGTTAGGGTCCCACCTATATGTAAATAGTGAACATCCCCCCCCACAAAAAAAAACAGCACTATGAAATTGTAGGTATATATTTTTGTGCCAAGAATAACAGCAATACATTTTATCTGGAGTTGAAGCCATTAAATTTTGTTCAAAATATTTAGATTCCGGCATTAAATAACCCATAGAGGTGTTGATATGCCGGTAAACAAAATCAACCAATCATCCAATAGCAGCTAATCATCTTTATGTACAATGTCGAAGGCAAAGCCTATAAAATTCCCAGAAGAAAATGAGAAAAATCCACAAATAATACAAGGCTCAACAACGATGATAAAAGTAGGCATATAGTCCTACCTACCAATTCTATGAAAGCCACAATCGACAATAACTTATGTAAACTTAAAACCTAAAATACATCAACATTACCTCAAAAACAAGAAGAGATACAATTAACCTCAAACGAGATAGCAAGACGCCAGACTTTAAGTGGAAATTGTATATATGAACCATCGCTAAAAAAGCTGAGAAAATAATTGGTTGCTTGTCCCGGTCTGGAAAATGTCTGGCTCTGTCTTGTATGCTCTACTTTTACTAGAAGCAGGTCAGATCCAAAATAGACCATTATTGGCATATAATATTTTTATTGTAAGCGTCAATAATAATACACCGATATACTTATGCGCACCCGTAGATTTAAACTGATATATACATAAATATACAAACTCATACGACTATAATAATAATAATAATAATAATAATAATAATGAATCCGGTTACGGAGATAGGGCCTATAACAATGTTATGGAACTACACAATACACACAGACAAGACGATCAAAGCTAATCCTCCAGATTTTTTATTAGAGACTGCAAGAAGACACAAAATTAAAAATTCTTCTACTAATGTAGGACGTTCATTTTATTGTTGTCTACAGCGAGTGCTTGTACTAACAGGACAGAGAGAGAGAGAGAGAGAGAAAGAGGGACAGGGGAAAGCAATGAGTGATATACTTAATGGGTTTGAGTTAATTAATGGCAGAACAGGGACTACTATCGCCTGAATAAGTACAATCATAGTATTGAAACATGGAAGCTCTTTTGTAGCGATTTAAAATGTTTTATTACAAACTCTTATAATAAAAATGTTATAATAATATTTTGCTCTTCTTTGCACTGAGCACTCTTTTTTAAAAGTAAACTATGGATTTTTTCTCCATTTGTCATTTCTCTTGTTTTTTGCGTTGTTGTCATATTGTTGTGGAGTATTTTCACAGTGGAGGCTTGTATTTCTAATAAGTCGTCCTAAATTAGGTCCGACGTACAAAACGTTAGGAACTTGGAAAATAAGAGTCAATGGCGCAGCAATCTAGTTGTGATGGTTGGTACTTCAAATGTCCGAATCTCGACTGACGCGCTCAACACCATTCGGTATTTATCATTTCACCCACGAGAAACGAATATGGCACAAGGCCGGTTTTATTGTGGGTTTCTCCGAGCCCGTAGGCTCGGCCAAAAAAATAGCCTTTGAAGCCGATTAGACGGGTTCAGGCCCTGTCTACCTCCCCGGACGAAACCTTACCCTTCGGCAAAGCTTCGTCCGGGTTCCTCTCCGCTAACGCAGAGAGTTCGACAGGAGGCGTGCGCAGTCAGAGACCGCTCAACACCATTCGGTATTTATCATTTCACCCACGAGAAACGAATATGGCACAAGGCCAGTTTTATTGTGGGTTTCTCCGAGCCTGTAGGCTCGGCCAAAAAATAGCCTTTTGAAGCCGATTAGACGGGTTCAGGCCTATCTACCTCCCGGACGAAACCTTGCCCTTCGGCAAAAGCTTCGTCCGGGTTCCTCTCCGCTAACGCAGAGAGTTCGACAGGCGTGCGCAGTCAAAGACCGCGAGACGCCATTCGGTATTTATCATTTCACCACGAGAAACGAATATGGCACAAGGCCAGTTTTATTGTGGGTTTCTCCGAGCCATAGGCTCGGCCAAAAAAAATAGCCTTTTGAAGCCGATTAGACGGGTTTCAGGCCTGTCTACCTCCCCGGACGAAACCTTGCCCTTCGGCAAAGCCTCGTCCGGTTCCTCTCTACTAACGCAGAGAGTTCGACAGGAGGCGTCCGCAGTCAAAGACCGCGAGAGATGCCATTCGGTATTTATCTTTTCACCCACGGAAAGAATATGGCACAAAGGCCGGTTTTTATGTGGGTTTCCCCGAGCCCCGTAGGCTCGGCCAAAAAATAGCCTTTTGAAGCCGATTAAACGGGTTCAGGCCCTGTCTACCTCCCGGACGAAACTTTGCCCTTCGGCAAAGCCTCGTCAATCTCTAACTAACGCAGAGAGTTCGACAGGAGGCGTCCCGCAGTCAAAGACCGCGAGATGCCATTCGGTATTTATCTTTTCACCCACGGAAAAGAATATGGCACAAGGCCGGTTTTTATGTGGGTTTCCCCGAGCCCGTAGGCTCGGCCAAAAAATAATCCTTTTGAAGCCGATTAAACGGGTTCAGGCCCTGTCTACCTCCCGGACGAAACCTTGCCCTTCGGCAAAGCCTCGTCCGGGTTCCTCTCTTAACGCAGAGTTCGACAGGAGGCGTCCGCAGTCAAAGACCGCGAGATGCCATTCGGTATTTATCTTTTCACCCACGGAAAAGAATATGGCACAAGGCCGGTTTTTTATGTGGGTTTCCCCGAGCCCGTAGGCTCGGCCAAAAAAATAGCCTTTTTGAAGCCGATTAAACGGGTTCAGGCCCTGTCTACCTCCCCCCGGACGAAACCTTGCCCTTCGGCAAAGCCTCGTCCAGGTTCCTCTCTGCTAACGCAGAGAGTTCGACAGAGGCGTCCGCAGTCAAAGACCGCGAGATGCCATTCGGTATTTATCTTTTCACCCACGGAAAAGAATATGGCACAAGGCCGGTTTTATGTGGGTTTCCCCGAGCCCGTAGGCTCGGCCAAAAAAATAGCCTTTTTGAAGCCGATTAGACGGGTTCAGGCCCCGTCCACCTCCCCGGACGAAACTTTGCCCTTCGGCAAAGCCTCGTCCGGTTCCTCTCTGCTAACGCAGAGAGTTCGACAGGAGGCGTCCGCAGTCAAAGACCGCGAGATGCCATTCGGTATTTATCTTTTCACCCACGGAAAGAATATGGCACAAGGCCGGTTTTTATGTGGGTTTCCCCGAGCCCGTAGGCTCGGCCAAAAAATAGCCTTTTGAAGCCGATTATACGGGTTCAGGCCCTGTCTACCTCCCCGGACGAAACTTTGCCCTTCGGCAAAGCCTCGTCCGGTTCCTCTCTTTACGCAGAGAGTTCGACAGGAGGCGTCCGCAGTCAAAGACCGCGAGATGCCATTCGGTATTTATCTTTTCACCCACGGAAAAGAATATGGCACAAGGCCGGTTTTTATGTGGGTTTCCCGAGCCCGTAGGCTCGGCCAAAAAAATAGTCTTTTTGAAGCCGATTATACGGGTTCAGGCCTGTCTACCTCCCCGGACGAAACCTTTGCCCTTCGGCAAAGCCTCGTCTGGTTCCTCTGCTAACGCAGAGTTCGACAGAGGCGTCCACAGTCAAAGACCGCGAGATGCCATTCGGTATTTATCTTTTCACCCACGGAAAGAATATGGCACAAGGCCGATTTTTTATGGGTTTCCCCGAGCCCGTAGGCTCGGCCAAAAAAAATAGCCTTTTGAAGCCGATTAGACGGGTTCAGGCCCTGTCCACCTCCCCCGACGAAACTTTGCCCTTCGGCAAAGCCTCGTCAGGTTCCTCTCTTCTAACGCAGAGAGTTCGACAGGAGGCGTCCGCAGTCAAAGACCGCGAGATGCCATTCGGTATTTATCTTTTCACCCACGGAAAAGAATATGGCACAAGGCCGGTTTTTATGTGGGTTTCCCCGAGCCCGTAGGCTCGGCCAAAAAATAGCCTTTTGAAGCCGATTAGACGGGTTCAGGCCCTGTCTACCTCCCGGACGAAACCTTTGCCCTTCGGCAAAGCTTCGTCCGGTTCCTCTCTAACGCAGAGAGTTCGACAGGAGGCGTCCGCAGTCAAAGACCGCGAGATGCCATTCTGCCAGACTTGCCACTGCTACTCCTACTTATTATCTATGGGAGAGTCCATTACAATAGAATAGGTACCTAACACATATATAGAATGGAGCTGATCAATCCTCACTTTGCAACCATAACAATGTTCAAAAGCCTTTTTACGCGGCCTTGTAGGTGATGAATTGTTTCACAAACTATAACCCAGAAACTTAACGTTACTCGTCTTTCCCCACTCTCTTGCTATTTTCATGTAAAGTTGCTTCTCTCTGCTTTTTTTTTTTTTTTTTAGAAATACTTTCATGCTAACTGTTCGAATACGCTCTTCATTATGTTACCTCGACTTCCTGAATTTAAGAGCAGTACTAGGCTAGCGTCGAAATCTCATCAATTTACAGTTGAGCTAGCTTGATGTTACCGTAACTTCTGTGCTAACAGCTTCTTTTCCCGCACTTCTTGCTTGTGAAACTCCTTTTTCACTCCACGTTTTCCAGCCCCATCTGCAAAATATGTAAATGTAGTGTCATTCGCTATCTACTCTCCTCTTGATTACGATTTTCCTTTCCCTCTCATTACAAATATTTCTTTTCCTAATTTCTCTTTACCCTGTAACCTCTTGTGACTTAGTGGCTATACTGTCTTGCTTGGCGGGGGGTGATACAGATTAAAAAGCAATTATGTTCAGACGGGTTACCTTCTTTTGTTTAATCAGTTTGAAATAAATCATGTCTTGGGAAGTGACTGGTACCATAATACCGAAAATAGTGGCAAGTAGAGCTCATCAGCAAATATTAGCCAGAAAATCTCGTCTACACAATGAAAGGTCTTTATTCAGCCGAATTCTATACATTAAACTGCATGTGGGGATGTACAGTCAAGTGCTTCTTCCTTGCCTTTGCAATTAATGGTAATTTCGAAAAGGAATTAAGATGGAAAGACATTATTGTGTAAGTGAGATTACATTCCTTACTTGATTTCTCTTTCCGTCAATTCTCAGCCCATAAGAGGGGGGACAATTCGTGGCGCTACAGGAGGAGCCTATTTTAATTTTTTTTAACAATACATTTCTTACTATTTTTTATATTTATGTGATATTGCTTTTATTATTTTTCTAAAATTCATTCGTCTCTCTTTTTTTGTTCTGTTTTCTTTCTTTTCCTTTTTGTTTTCCTTTTATCCGATGTTCAGTTTTTCTTTCTTTTTTTTTAGATCATTTCATTCCTTTCTTTATTTTCTCTTTTTATTTCTATTTATACACATTCTCCTTTCTTTCTTTCTTTCTCTCTTTCTTTCTTTCTTTTCAGTTATATATTTTTATTTCTTACTCTGGACCCTCTTTTTGCTCGCTGATTGGATTCCCCTCTCCCACTAACATCTTTTGTCTCTCCTTAATTCTCTCCCTCTTTCCCCCTCCTTCAACTTCTTTCTTTCTTTCTTTCTTTTCAATTATATATTTTTATTTCTTGCTCTGCATCCTCTTCTTCATCGCTGATTGGATTCCACTCTCCTACTGACATCTTTTCTTTCTCGTGTATCCCCTCTCTCTCTTTCTCTCTCTCTCTCTCCCCCTTACACCCCATCTTTAAATTTCTTTCTTTTTTATATTCTTGAAGCCATTTCGCTCCTTTCATTTACTCTTTAGTTCCTCAGAGAGTTTTCGCGGTTAAAGGAAATTGTCCAATTAATAGCGCTTAAATGAAAGTGGCATTTTTTTTGGTTTGAAAAAATCTTCTTTCCCTTAGCGACATGGCAATAGCGGCTAATTCTATTATTTTGTAATTTGACGCCATTTTGCCGGAAATATAGATACCTACATGAAACCAATTTACAGCCAGGCTGTTATATTGTTTATAGCTGATAATACACCGTAGCTAATTCAGAGTTAATTATTCGAATATTAAAAACACTTCGAACACTAGAGAATGTTCTAGAAGTTCAATTCTCGCAAAGATTTTTTTTCTCTTTTCTGGAAATATATTTCATAGCTTTAAGCTTTCGCCATCATCAACTTTATTCACAGCCCGTCGCTGCCGTCGTCGTTGTAGACAATCTTTTCAAATAAACAGGCCCGGTTTCCTTCACAGTGGATGGGTTATCGCGTGTCTGATTAGACCAACATCGGTTACAGCGCACGTTTCCACCACTAGGACATAAAAAAATGATATTGGATGATAACAGCGCGTTTCATGTCTTCGACGGTTTTTTTTCTGATTACTGGGCCGACCTTATTTCTATGATTTAAAACAGGTTAATTAATCGTCTACCACAACACAGTCAGCCTACTTTCCTAGCAACAGACCCAGCAATTAATTCAATATAATATTTTCCACTTCATGACAGCGGAAAAATTTAACTCAGAAAGGCGTACTCCCCTGGAGGTTAGCATCAGCCATGCCGATGTATGACAAAATACGTTCTGTTATAAGATTAAATGTGACCAGTTTTCTTTTGCATGTGTTAAAATTGATTACCAGCATAAAAAATACTTTTCGTTCACTTTTTTCTTTTTAATGATTACACCCCAAGTAAGGCGATGAAGCCACTAAGGCGCAAAAGGTTACTCAGGGATAAACAAACTTTGAGTAGAAAGAGATAAAAGTAACAGAATAAGATTCAAGAAGGACCAAGATTAGAAATTCTTCTACTAAGGTAGGACATTCATTTTATTGTCGTCTACAGCGAGGGCTTGTAAAAATCTCATGCTCACAGAACAGAAAGAGGGAAAAGGGACAGGGGAAAGCAATGCGTGATATACTTAATGGGTTTGAGTTAATTAATGGCAGAACAGGGAGAAATAACAAAAGACAAAACTTATTAAGAATTACAAGAGACAGGAGGATGTGGAGAGCCATGATTGCCCACGCCCTGAAGGGACACGGAACATAAAAGGCCGAGTGAAATACAACAGTTGGTCGTCCAGTGTGTTGACTTCCTTGTCTTTTAGTCTACTGATTGGCGTGTTTAAGGTTAAAGAAATTAGAAGACCTTCCACAAAAGGCAGCGAAAGAGAGTCAGAAGAATGGTGATCAGCAATAAGATGATCCCAAAATGCGATTTTCAGGTCGAGGACATTAAAATCAAACAGATACGGAAGTTTAAATATCTGGGAAGTGTTTTGACAGCGGACTGAGAACCGAAGACGTATTGGAATGACCAAAGACGCATTCCAAAAGCTAGGCAGAGTATTACAAGACAGGAAGATTTCTTTGGTAACAAAGAAAAAAGTACTGAACTGCTACGTGTTATCTGTTCTCCTTTACGGCAGCGAATGTTGGACGGTCTCTTTGAAGAGATGAAGAAGAGCATCGAGGCGTCGGAGATGTGGTTCTACAGAAGGATGCTGAGAATACCATGGAATGAACATGTGAGCAACGATGAGCTCTTACAGAGGATGCAAAGAGGAGGCTTATACTTAACATCAGGAAGAAGCAACAAGTCTCAAGAAAGGAGGGCTTGGAGAATCTAATACTCACAGGAGGGATAGAAAGAAAGAGAGACAAGGAAAAGCAGTGCATGATATATCTGGCAGGCTTAAGTAAGTGAATGACAGAACGTTGTCTGGGGGAGGTGGCAGAGGGATGAAATTTATTGAGAGCTATAAGGGATAGGGGAAAAGTGGAGAGACATGATCGCCTACGTCCTGAAGGGACACAGCGAATAAAGAAGACTTACACTTATCTCTTGGTCAGTCTATGCTCTTTTCAGTCAAGTTTCGTAAATGTCGGTCTGTTTGTATATCTATAACCTTCTCTCTGATAGCATTTTGTCGATAAAATCAACGCATCTTGTGTTAATGCCCTGAGCCACACCACATTATTTCTCTCCTATTTCTAGTTTAGTTCTGCTTCAAGCTGTGTTCATTCGAATTGTAATTATAAACTTACTTATGTGAATCATTAAGCTGATTTTCCGATGCAGTTCACATCAGTAAATGTTTACAGTCTCAAATATAAATGGTCATTTCTTCCTTATTTCCGAACTAAATTCTTATGGACACAAATTTAAATGACCAATATTGACCTATCCCCGAAGCAAATTAACGCTTATCCACGTGAATATGAACGGTCAAAATGTATCTATTACCGCAGCAAATTAATGCCAATAAATGTAAATTTAAACGACCAGTATTTATTTAACCGCGAACCAACTACACTCTTGTGCAAATTAATTGAAAGAAAACGAATAACTCCGTTGCTATTTAGTTTATCTTCGTATTTTTCCAATGAAACATGATCCAGTGAACATGTTAGTACTTTGTATGTCATTTCTACAAAGTCTTTCCTCGCAGACTGATCACAGATTCTCAACTGGATTTAAATCAGCAGAATTTCCAGTCTATAGTATTTTGATTTGCTCACTGGTAAGGCTTGCCAGTGTGTTCGTATGTCCAATCTACAAAGTCTATCTGTTGTGGATTCCGAGATCAAATTCGGTCTCCAATGAATGACAAACGCAAGAATTAAATATAAGAAATAAAATGTATTTACACAATAATACAAAGGGTAATACTGTTAATAAATCCAGGAACGCGGTTAGTAGCAATAACATATAGATATATAGTCTCGAAGTAGGACTTCCTTAGAGTCTACGTGCTTGTAACTCACTCCTACAAGCGGTTACCTCACACTACTACTCTACCTCCAACTCAATCACAATCTCAGTCTTCTTACTCTCTCTACTCACTCTCTCTGACTGTCTAATTCTGGGTATTTAACGGCAGCAGTCCCAGTAAAACTCTGGTCGAGTCCACTTATATGAAAAAGGGGAGGACCCCATAACACTATCCTTGCAGATTGACCACAGATTCTCGATTGGATTTAAATCTGGAGAGATTCCGAACCAGTCGACAGTACTTTGATTTGCTTGCCAACGTGTTCAGGCAGCGTTACAATTTTCACACACCTCCTTGGAGTAACGTCCACTGCAGACGATGGCCGTAGGACAACTAATCGACAGTCGGTACAATAGTGTCTGGGCATGATAAAAATCGGATGACGCAATATTTTTCAAGGCCAAACAAATTTCATCATACACCCTGAAAATAGATTCATATTACTGCACACTACTGCAAATGACGTAATCCGAGGGAAAAATAGAAATTGATTACGACGGTGAAAGAAAGGAAACTAAAGCGGTTGTTTCAATTAATTAGCACAAAGGCTGTAAATGCTTACAGATTTAAATATAAACGGGAAAAAATACAATAAATTCCGGATTTCATATCCGAATACGCATATCCCCTATATCCGGTATCTCATATCCGGAATTATCAAATGTGTACAGTTTCTGGATAATTACTTATTTCACCCTAATTGCTTGTAAAACATCTGCAAATAAGATTGCAGAACAAACACTGAAAAAAAAGAAAAGAATCGGAAAAAAAAGTTGAGAACGATTTCGAAAAAGAGAACGACATGAATCATCATACAACAGCGATTAAAAACCCTTGTTACATTATTTGTTTTGCATACGTGGTATACTTAATTTAATGAACTTTCATTAACATTAAATAATTTATTTTTCCTTAAAATCAATTCCGTTATATTTCACTGACGCAGCTTATTTTGTTTACAATAAAACATTGAAAATAAATGTTAAACTTCAGTTCTTTTATTTTAATCTTGATATAACCCCTCATATCCGGACGTTGTAACCAGTTCCTCATATCCAGAAGGCCTTCTTAATCTGTTTGTCAGGAATTCTACTGTAAATGCTTGAAGTCCTGACTTCCTCAGTCGATAAAGCTGAGTGATTTGCTCGTAAATTCTCACCTAATTCAACGCTCGACGCGTCCGCTGTACTTACACCCGACCCCCACCCCCACTAAACCGGAGGCTCTGTTGAGCGAGTTGCACATAACCCCATAGTTGGTGTTGGGCATCATCTCTAAATTAGACGCCCATAAGGCTAACCGTGGGGACGGGATACCTGCCATTGTCCGGAAGAAATGTGCTCCTGAACTGGCTCCTGTCCTCTCTAAACTAAACAACTACTGCCTCAACGACCCCTGCTTTCCATCTTGTTGGAAGTTTTCATCTGTGTTACTTGTCTTCAAGAACTCTGACAAACCTTCTGATCTATCTAACTATCACTCTTCGGTAAAGTCTTTGAAGCTTTAATCAACGCCGAAGTGGTTAAGCACCTTACACCCCATGATCTCCCTCTCTGACAAGCAATATAGTTTCCGCTTTGCCTGATCTACAGCTGATATGCTCACGGCCATAACTGAATTTGTTTACTAAGCATTTCACAATTGCAGAAAAGCTCATGTTGTGGCTCTAGATATTTCTAAAGTGTTTGATAGGGTTTGGCATGCCGGCCTCCTTCGTAAGTTTCAGGAATAAGGTATTTCAGGACGATTATTTGACTTAATACAATCATTCCTGTCAAATTCTCCTCCGGTTCGTTTCTCACGAACGCAGGTGTCTCCCAAGGCTCTATTCTGGGTCCTACACTATCTTCATTAACGATCTTCCCGATGTCATCAGTTCCCAAGTAGGCATCTATGCAGATGACACCACTATTTACCCCTGCCTAAATAGCAAATCTGGTATCGATGACAAAACTAACCTGTCCGTTGGTCTCGGAAAGGACCTCCAATCTGTGGTTGACTGGGGCAAGAAATGGCTGGTTAACTTTAATACTTCAAAGACAAAACTGCTCTCTATTACCCACCACAGAGAACTCTCCCTGCCTCCCATTAGAATGTCTGATGCTCAACTCAACGAGAGCACCTCTTTGCGTCTGCTGGGTCGCACACTGCCCGCTGAGATGAGATGGAATAAATACATTGAATCAATAGCTTCATCTACCGCAAGGAAAGTTGGTTCTCAACTCGTGCCAGAATTTTTTTCTCGCCCGAGTCGATCCTTCAAATCTATAAATCAACCATTCGCCCTTGCATGGAATACTGCTGTCATATATGGCATGTAGCCTCCGCTGTTCGCCCTAGGGTACTCGACAAAATCCAGAGACCAATATGCAATTTGACTGGCCCTGATCTGGCATCTTGTTTACAGTCGCTCTCACAGACCTCCCGTCGCCTCCTTTTGTCGTTTATACAAATACTTTCATGGCAACTGCTCTGACGAACTATTTTCGCTAGTTCCCAAACTGCATGAATTTAAACGTGGTGCACCTCAGTCAAAATCGAAACGGTTAAATGTAGCAGTCTCTTCTACTTCATGTCTGACACTTCCCGTCTGTGGAACTCCCTTCCTCTTACTCGTTTCCTTGATAGCTATAATTTTCAACTATTCAAAGGCAATGTCAATCGACATCTCCAGATGCCTTATCCATTCCCCGTCGTTCATCCTTTCCTCTTTCATGTCTCTTTACCCTTGCTCCCACTTTCTGTAACCACTTGCGTGCTAGTGGCACTCCCGTCTTGCTTGATGTGAAAAGTTTTTTTTTTTAAATATATTAAAAAATAAAATAAAAAAGGTTTTGCTATTATGTAATCTAAAAGGTGACCTAAAATCAAGCATCCCATTCCAATCTAGAGATTCTTGATCAAATCCAAAGAATCTGCAATATTATTGGTCCTATTCTGGCGTTACAGCTTCAGTCACTTACCTACCGCCATAAAGTTGTATCTTCTATAAATACTTTTATGATAATCGTTCAGGTGCTCTCATCGCTATGGTACCTAGACTTGATGAATTTAAGAGCAGTGCTAGACATGTTCATAAATTATATGCTAATAGTTTCTTTTCTCGCACTTTTCATTTGTGGACCTCTCTTACGGTTACATGCTTTCCAGGCGACATTAATCTGCAAAAATTTAAATGCAATGTCAATCGCTGTCTACTGTTTTCCTGATTACTCTTCTTTTGTTGTCTCTCCTTCGTAATGTTCCTGTTTTTTTAATTCTTCCAGGCCGAGTAACCCCCTTGTGTCTATGTCGCTTTATCCCCTTGAAAGAATGTATTTCAGTAAAATCAAGGCAATCACTAACTGAGAAGTACTAAATATGAACTAAACATATATATATATATATATATATATATATATATATATATATATATATATATTTATATTATTCATACAAAAACAAATACAAAGGTTAATGATTTAATTGGCGAGAAATCCATCGTCGCAAACAATTCAAATAATATACAATAACCCTGAACCTGTTTATGAATGAAAAGAAATGAGTTATTGTTTTTGTAAAATTTTAATTCAAACTCAGCGTTGCGACAGCACACTCTAAAAACAATAACTCATTTCTAATAGCATTTTTCGGATTACAACAGTACATATATTTTCGTTGTCCTCTTATTACTGAGAGAAAAAACAAGAACAAAATCTATTCCATACCTGAGGATGTCTGTATGAACAGACGAAAGCTTGTAAAAATAATAAGAACTCATGCAACAGGAATTTATAGAAACAAGGATCTTTTCATTCATATGAATAATTCATGAATTTGTAAATTAATTGCACCTTTATTGAAATTAATATATATATATATATATATATATATATATATATATATATAGATAGATATTATCAGCGGAAAGAGAACAATCTACACGTAGGTTTCAGTTCGAAATATCCTGAAAGTTACCCTGATTGACAAACACCTGATGAAGGCCAAATTGTACAACGGTCGAAACGTTGTGAGTCGCACCTTGTTTTGAAATCAGAGTTATTCTTTTCCTAAGCTGATGGACAACCAAAATTGAAGAGATTGATCTTCGCTAGAATTTAACCCATAGCTGGGAGGAGAAAGAAATGTTCATATTTAGAATCTCCTCGGGTTTCTCTGCCCAAAAGTCAATTTAACAAACTTAATTAAAATTCAAACACGGCTCGCTAACTTTTGGTTCCGAGCTGGTAAACATTACACCATTAGCAATCCGATAATAATAATTGTCACTGAAATAAGAAACTTCGTATGAAGAAGAATTTTTTAACCAACCCAAATGCAGACAATGAACCTTTCTAGAGAGGCAGAATCGGTGGAACCTCAAATTAAATTATCTACAGTTTCGTGCTCGGCCACTGAGTAATTCACGGGAGAACACACGAGGCTAATGACTTTGTGTATAAAGTCGTGTCTTTCAACAAATCAAGTGACTCGAAAAAGAATTAAATTCATCTTGTTAAACTGTTAAGGTCAGTGAATTGCACACGCAACTGCGTAGGGAATCGTAGAGATGTCAGCCATATTGTTTACTAGAAACAAAAGCTATTTGCCATTTAAGATGACGGTCAGAGACAGAGGGTAGGTGAAGATCCGTGATGAGGAGAAAAGAAAAATGGAAAAGAAAAAAGAAAGAAAAAAACTCAATTAGAAAGAGAACAAGCAGACGGAAGAAAGCGACAGACGCTTGGACATTGCAAAGAATATCGTCAAAAAATAAGAGAAGAATTAGGACATTACGGTAAATGGGAAGAGGAAAAGGGAAATAAAAATACGTTATACAAAAAGAAATTGTAAAATTGAAAAAGAAAAGAAAGTAAATTAATGAAGAATGTAATAAAATAGTTAAAAGAAAAAGAAAAGAAAAAAGAAAACTCCAAGGCAAAAGAAACGTAAAAATAAAATAAGCAGAAAAATATGAAAGATGCAACAAGATGGAAAAAGGGAAAGAAAAAAAGGAAGAAAAAAAACGAAAATAAAAAAAGGAAAAAGAAAAAAAGGGACTGACGAAAAATGGAAAGAAAAACCAAAGAGAAAAGATCTATAAAAAAAAGGGAAATTTGGAATAAAGAAAGAAAGAAAAAAAGAAGGAATAAAGAAAGAAAGAAAGAAAGAATGATATAGTAAAGAATTAAGGCAGAAAGAAAGAAATAAAGGAAGGAAGGAAGGAAAGAACTAAGGAATCAAGAAAGAAAGCAAGCAAGCAAAAAAGAAAGAAAGAAAGAAAGAAGGAATAAAGAAAGAAAGAAAGTAAGAAGAAAAGAAAGAAAGAAAGAAAGAAAGAAAGAAAGAAAGAAGGATATAGTAAAGAATTAAGGCAGAAAGAAAGAAAGAAAGAAAGAAAGAAAGGAAGGGAGGAAATAAAGAAAGAAAGGAATCAAGAAAGAAAGCAAGCAAGCAAAAAAGAAAGAAAGAAGGAAACCCACAAACAAACAAGGATATAGTAAAGTATGAAGGAAGAAAGAAAGAAAGAAAGAAAGAAAGAAAGAATGAAAGGTAGGATGGAAGGAAGGAAGGTTGAAAGAAAGAAAGAAAGAAAGAAAGAAAGAAAGAAAGAAAGAAAGAAAGAAAGGAAGGAAGGTAGGATGGAAGGAATGAAGGAAGGTTGGAAAGAAAGGAAAGAAAGAAGCAAGGAATGAAGAAAGAAAGAAAGAAAGAAAGAAAGAAAGAAAGAAAGAAAGAAAGACGGATATAGTAAGGTATGATTGCAGGAAGAAAGAAAGAATGAAAGGAAGAAAGAAAGGAGAGTGAAAGAAAGAAAGAAAGAAAGAAAGAAAGAAAGAAAGAAAGAAAGAAAGAAGGAAATAAATGGAGTTCACCAGAAACCTCTGCTGAAGTGTGGATCCGAAAAAATCGCTGAGATTCTGTGTCCATATTTCAATAAGTGAATTATTTTGATTTTGTCACTAATAGTCATGTGACCAAACCAAGTAAATAATAAGAAATAATAGAAAACGTGTAAATAATGCCAAGCAGAAAAAGAAAAAAAAAGAGATAAAATGGAGATGCGATATAAATTGAGAACTCCAAGAAAGTGAGTTGGATGCGAAAAGAAAGAAAGTAAAAAAACAGTGAAAGGGTTACAGGAAAAGAGAAGACGTTCAAATTATAAGCAAACAACATAAATGAAAAAGAAAATAGGAAAGCAAGAAAAAGAGAAAGAAAGAAAAAGAAACTAATGAACAAACCAAGAGAGAGAGAGAGAGAGAGAGAGAGAGAGAAAGAGAGAGAGAGGGAAGAAATAAAGGGCAAGGAAGAGAGAAGAAATAAAGAAATGGCTAGAGTTCGCACAAAGAGAGAATGAAAAACGTGAAAACTACAAATCGAATAACAAGTCCTGCAGGAAAAACGTAAAAAGAATTGAAGAATTTGATATTGGCCCTAAGCACATTTACGGATACAGAAGAATCAACCAGAACAATTATTTGTAAATTACTATCGAGGAAGAACAATAAAAAGAAAATACTTTAAAACGGAAATCCCAAAACCAGTAGAAAAATAGAGAATAAATATAAAGAAAGCAGACAATTTTGTGAATAAATCGGAAAGAGAAAAAAAAAAGTCCAGTTTAAAGATGGCGATTGAAGTCAGCACATTTTTTATTTATTGTAATAGAAGAATTGGAAAGAATTTGTTTTTAGCTTTAAAAAGGTCTTTGATATATATTTTTTTTGTATTAAATAACTTTTATTCTTTAAAAGCATTCAATTTCTTGTGTCCAATTTCTACAAATTTTCACCTTTGGGCCGCTGGCAAAATAAAATTTGCATTGTCATCCAATTCATTCATTGATGGTCTGTCGATATATTAGTTTTCTATCTCATTCAATGTTGTGATTTTCCAAGCGTAGCTTAGATGTGGCACAAGGCCGAAAGAAGGGGGCACCCAGTGAGCATCGAATTCACTACTTAGTCGTAATTGTTCTAGCGAGACAAACTTGCTAACCATTGCACCGCCTCGAAGTGCCATATTCTCTATCTATGTATGTAAATATTTATGCATCTATATATAATACCTAATAATAATGCTCAACCAGATGCGATGGCAGGACACATTGAGAGAATGGTGGGGGGGATAATAGGATTTTGAAAAAAAATGAAGATGGGAAAACGTCCACAACACAAGCCTAGGAAAAGATTTAAAGATAATCTGAAACTTAATCTGAATGCATTGCACGTGGGTGTGCAGCAGTGGGAAGAACTGGTTTCAAACCGTACAGAGAGGAAACACTTTATAAGGGAAGGGATGCAACATCTTTGTATATGAATATCTGGGGCATGCTCAGATCAAGCGTGATCTCCGAAGAGGCATTCACTTTGATTTGCAAATTAATATGCAGCCTTGGAAATGTCATTTGCGAACGCGTGCTGTTTGTCGAGGGCAGATTATGTAAACCATCTAAAAGTTCATTATAATAACCAGAATCCAAATATACCAACCTGCCTTATCTACCTGATGGTAATACCTGTGTTAGCAGATTGTCATCGGGCCTGAGAAGGCAACTGGTACAGAGTCTATTTGTAGAGTATGCAGTTCCAAACAATCAATCGACCACAGAAGCCGAAACGAGACGGGACCCATTAAAATTATGCAAGTGTTGACTACCCCACTTTGATCTGAGTAAGATGTGATAATTCTCACGTAGGTATGTACTAGCTTAAAAGTCGCCCTATCGGGCGGCATTTAAGTTAGTTACTGCTCACTTGATTGGACCTTCAGCTTCTTCAGGAGTTTAAAGAGTCCCCTAATCTTTGCATATTCTCAGCATTGGAAATTCTCCTGACAGCCGTTTGATTTGGGTTTTCACTTGCACGGGACTTTAATTTTCTTGAAGCAGCATTGGTTCTTTTGATTGCAATCTGGTCCAATTGTTAGATTAAACTCTGAACCGTTGTCTCTTAGAAATGATTAAAGATATCTTACTGCAATTCACCGAGGATTTAATAAGACTATGGGACTCTATTTTGAACAATAATAATGTATAATTATACTCCAAGCTTAACAGAAGAATCGTTATGAAATCGATCATAATCGAAAAGGACGTGTTCATCATTAATTAATCATGACTAAGGATCGGGTACCCATGAAGGATTGAAATAAAGTTCATATATATATATATATATATATAATAAAAAGGCTTAAACACAAATATTCCATGGTCATAATTTATTCCATTGGAATCGTAAATACGATCCAATTCATCAGATCTACAAATATGGCCATGGAATATTAGTGTTTCAGCCTTTTTATTATATCATTACTCTGTCCCAGACATTCAGTTCTACTTGGATTCTATCCACTTTGATTTATTTTTTATACAAATATATATGTATGTGTATGTATGTATGTATATATATTTATATATATTTTAGATATATGATTGAATATCTATGTTTATATTTACCACTAATATTATCAATCTATATATATATATATATATATATATATATGTGTGTGTGTGTGTGTGTGTGTGTGTGTGTGTGTGTGTGTGTTATTCCAGGATCATTTTCAAGTTTATTCAAGTCTTCGCCCTCTCTAAAATTCTAAATTTCTGTCCTGGTGTAAAAAGTAACTCACAGATTTCGCGTACGATTTCATTATCAAGTTTTTTTTTCACTGCTCTTTGAACTGTCATAGCTGAAACTCCTTGCTTAAGGGTCAAACGTCTTATGGATTGATTTGGATCTTTTCTAATTGATCTCTTTAGCTCTAAGTTGAAATGATGAACCCTGTTCCTGTTGTAAGTTCCTCATCCAGTTTTCCTCTCTACTGTTCCCTCTTTTTAAACTTATTCACCGTTCTTGAATGGACATTGAAGATGAAAGCCAGAATATGAATGTTGGTATCATTACTGTACGCCTGAATGATTTTCCTCCCACCATTGCTCAGTTGGGAAAATAGTTGTTGTGGCCTGTTTAGGGGCCAGAAAGAAAGACACGGAAGACGAAGGCAGGTTGAAAAAGTATATTGAAGATATATACAAAACAATAGTGTTAGTAATAAGTAGATGAGCACTGCGTCTACTACTCCACTTTACTTCCCTCTATCCGACTCTCGCAGTTTGTATTTATGAGAGGAGGAAGAGTTCATTCTACTGTAAGAGGGTTTACCACAACAACAGTGGAGTTGATACAAAAAGATTTTAACCTGTTTTATTTTTAGATGAATAACTCAAAGGGTTCATCAGTGATTCTTACAACACAACACACATATATATATATATATATATATATATATATTCAATCTAGTGTCAAGATGGCTAAATGTTTTATCTGAAAACTTTGAACTTTGTTATTTTTATTTATTCATTTATTTTTTCATCGATTTTGGACAGTCATAGCTGAAGCTCCTTTCTCATGTGCTAAACATTAGAACTTTTCTATTTGATCTTTTCAACTCTAAGTTGAAATGATGATCTCTTTTGCTGTTGTGACCTCCTGATTCAGTTTTCTTCTCTACTCTTCCCTCTTTTTTTAAACTTATTCACCATTCTATTAATGTCTCTTGAATGGACTTTGAAAATGAAAGCCAGGGAATCAATGCTGGCACCATTACTGAAGGCCTGAATGATTTTTTTTCTTTCTTACTATTGCTCAGTTGGGAAGACATAGTGAGGCTGACACAAAATGATTTTAACCTGTTCTCTTTCTAGCTGAATAACTCAAAAGGGTGATTCTTACAACAAATGGTGTCAAGATGGCTAAACGTCTTATCTGAAAACCTGGAAAGAAAAAACTCAATTAGTTCAGTGTGTGTGTGTGTTTTTATATATAGATATTAAATATTTTGTGAGCTGGATAATTATGCTGTTACACAATTTGGACAATTTACCGTGTGTTTGTAAACACACTTATTATTCAGAGGAAAGGTGTCTCCAATAACCAGCTTCTTCTCAGTTTCATATGTACATTTAGTAGACAATCTTCAGGTCTCTGACTTTATTAATAAGATATTTACTCTTCTATGAAGTATTGATCACTTTCTTTTTCTTTTGTGTCCTCAATGACTATTTTGACTACTTCATAGGTATTTTTTGATTATTAGTTATATAAGTGAGGAAGAAAGAAATAATAATGCATAATCTTATCCTGCACATGACCAAATGAAGTGGGTATATGGTGGAGGATGTTTTTTTTTAAAAAAAAAAATCATCATTTGAAATATGAATTCAAATTCTGATGAATAACATAAGCGAAGAATCCTTCTGCCCTGGTTCTCCATTAGTCCACTTGCAACATGTACACAGCAGCCTGGGTTGAATCTGTTATAAATTATTGAGGTATTTTAATCTCTTTACTGAACTTGTCACAACATTTTACTCTTTAAAGAGCAACTGGAAAAAAATGTATATGTCCTGGAAAGGGATATATTTGATCAAAGTAGCTAAATGGTTTAGGCTACTGTAACCGAGTAGAACAATCTAGCAGGTAGCAGTAATGGACTTGGTACTCGTCGCAGTCAATAGGTGTAGGCAATAGGCGTAGACCAATAGGATAGCCAATGGCGTAGTCCAATGGACGTCGTCCTGTACCTCTATATCAGCCTGTATTTATGGCTGACACCAATTATATTCCTGTGAAGGGGAACACAGGTGTATCCATATTCATTACATCAGAAATAATGGTCAGAAATTGATAATTAATTTTATAAATTTGCACTTCTCTTTTCTGCTTTGCTTTCTTTTTATAAATTGCTAGAAAAAGAAACTCAATTAATTTCGTGACTTTTTAGATATTAAATATTTTGTGGTATAAATAATTATTCAATTACATGTTTTGGACCATTTTGCTGTTACACACGGTAGATGTGTGTCGTGGTTAAAAAGATCGCTTCCGGACCACGAGACTCAGGTTTCGATTTCATCATGCGTACTTTTGTTAAGAAAGTGATATCTTGATGTCCTGGGATGGGGTGAGACGCTAGCACACGGTACATTTGGAAAGTGGCTCAAAACCATATCACGTGTTGACCAAAGGCTTGTAAGTGAAATTGGGTGGTTAAAAATGGTCTGAAGTAATCGAGGGTTATGCTAGCACAAACTAACAAGTCGTCATGGCCGACGGGACGTTTTCCAAAATGCTGATCATGACAAATTATGTGCTCTCTCCCAGAGGTACAGTCTATTTGTTCTTTATCATATCTATCTATCTATCTATCTATCTATCTATCTATCTATCTGTCAGAGTAGTTTCATTTTCTATCTATCTATCTATCTATCACAGTCGGTTAATATCTATCTATCTATCTATCTATCTATCTATCTATCTATCTATCTGAGTGGTTTCATTTTCTTTCTTTCTATCTATCTATCTATCTATCTATCTATCTATCTATCTATCTATCTATCAGAGTAGTTTCATTTTCTTTCTATCTATCTATCTATCTATCTATCTATCTATCTATCTGAGTGGTTTCATTTTCTATCTATCTATCTATCTATCTATCTATCTATCAGAGTAGTTTCATTTTCTATCTATCTATCTATCTATCTATCTATCTATCTATCTATCTGAGTGGTTTCATTTTCTTCTATCTATCTATCTATCTATCTATCTATCTATCTATCTATCTATCTATCTATCTATCAGAGTAGTTTCATTTTCTATCTATCTATCTATCTATCTATCTATCTATCTATCTATCTATCTATCTGAGTGGTTTCATTTTTATCTATCTATCTATCTATCTATCAGAGTAGTTTCATTTTCATCTATCTATCTATCTATCTATCTATCTATCTATCTATCTATCTATCTATCTATCTATCTGAGTGGTTTCATTTTCTATCT